TGTGAAGCTGGTGGTGGCCACTGTGCTACTGGGCAGCCCAGGACCGCTTGGTCTCAGCCACAGAGGGCGCGGCAGCCAAAACTCCTGCCTCGGGTAGAAGGAGATAGTTGGTCTGCCTCCTCCTCTGCGGTGGGCATCTCGGTTCTTTCCTCTCTCCCTCCTGTGAAGAGTGCCTTTCTGTAATTTGGGCTATTCCCTAAGACGAGTCCCAGAAGAGACGTTTGGACTCAGGGAGGGGGGCCACACATCAATCACGCTTCCAGAGCACCCAGCACATCCCCAAGGCCGGGCCCAACGACCAGGCCACGCCGGGGCCTGCCTCATCGCACCCTCACCCAGCTGGGTCTTGAGCCTGGAGCGGGTCCCTCTCAGGGCAAAATGAAAGACAGGGTGTCCCCCTCCCCATCAGCCCAGATCACTTTGGAAGGTGGGGACAGAGCCAGATCTGATCCTGCTGGTGAAAGCGCACCATCTCAGGGGGGCGGGGGTCCATGCAAGGAATGGAGGTGACCCTTCTCCAGGCACGCCTTGAAGGCTGGCATGGTCACGGACTTCCAGGTGTCACTGGGCGGGGGATGGAAGAAGACCATGGCTGGGTGGGAGGCCCTGCCTTCTGGGAACCAGACCCCCACCAGCCACACTCAAGGTAGCCCACAGATATGGAGAGCCCAGGAGACACTCAGACCTTCTGTGAGCTACCTACCAAGTAATAAAATGTTTGGGGGACTCTGGGATCCCCCGAGCTGTTCCTCTGGGCCCACCCCAGCCAGCTACTCAGCCTGTATGTGTAGTTCTTCAGTTTTACCACTAGAGGGGTCCCGTGAGCCAGCCTACCTGCCCTGCCCTCCTGGGGCGCTCCGTTCCCAGGTCTGGAGGAACCTGGACCGTGGAGCAGCTGTGCTGCACGGCAAGGCCTCAGAGCCACGCCCCCTGCTGGGCATCCGGCCCGCTGATCTCAGCCCTGACCCTCCCTGCTGGGCACACCAGGACCCGCCTCTCCCTTTGGGCCCTCTCACAGTGGCACTCAGAAACCCTTGGGGAGCTCAGAGTCCATGGGGATGTAACCCCGCCCCCCAGCGAGGCTGGCTTTACTGGTCTGGGTGTGGCCTGGGCAGCAGGACTTGGAAAGGCTGCCCCAGGACGCTCATGTGCAGCCCAAGGGGGGATGTCTGGCACCAGGGACCATTCAAGGAGGACTTCCTACTGTACCATCATGTGCCAGGAGCCGCAGGGGATGGAGAAGGGGCAAGGAGCACCATCTTTGCTTCCCGGGGACCAGGAGAGCACACTGGACACAAGCTGCAGAGGGGCAAGGAAAGGCCGGGAAAGGCCGACTCCAGGGCCCGCCCTTCTCCGGACCCACATCTGCTGCTTTATTTATTGTTTTGCAGCCTGTCACGCAGAACAGGGTTGGGGTTGGGCCACGTGGGACTTCTGACTCAAGGCAGGCTCGTTCCACACCAGCCCCGATGGGAGGCAGGGTGGGGCCTGGGCTGGACTCCAGAGCTGCCCTTAACCATGCTGTGGCTTGGATAAGGCTGGAGTGTCCCCCAGGAGCTCCTGTGCTGGAAGCCTGGTCCCCCGTGGGGTGGTGTTGAGGTGGGGGGACCTTTAAGAGCTGGGGCCTGATGGAAGGTGGTCAGGTCATTGGGGGTGTGCCTCAAAGGAATGGGCTCTGAGGACTCTGGTTATTTCTCTCAAGAGGGTTATTGTAAAAGAGCGTGCCTGGCCCCTCTCCGCACCCTGACTTTCCGTTTTGCTCTGTGACCTCGCTGTCCTGCACACACTCCCCCTACAATGCCCTCTGCCATGATGGGCCGCAGCCCAGGGGGCCCTCACCAGAGGACAATTTGATGGGGACTTTCAGCCTCCAAAACTGGTGGCTGAACGAACCTCTTTATAAATATCCAGCCTCGGGTACTTTGCTGTCATAAGAAAATGGACTAACACATGGTGTCCAGTGAGCCTCAGCCAAACTGCACCGTACACGATGAGGGGAAAGCGCACCTGTCAGGGGCTCAGGTGGAGAAGCCCAAGGGACAAGCACACTGAGACTGCAGCCCAGAGGCCAAGAAGTGCTCCCGTCACCTTCGCGATGAGCAGGGGAGGGGAGGACGTGACCACTCCCCAGCACCAGGCTCCGGTTCCTAGGCCAGGCTTGCTGACCACATACCCCAGCCTAGCACTTGACCTTCACACTCACTGACCTTGCAAGAAGGGGTTCTGGGCCACATTTCGGACTTAGGAGGCAACTGAGTGTCAAACGCACAAAATTGTACAACAGCAGGTAAAGCGAGGCTTAGAGCAGACATGCCCAAGTTCCTAGTGAACCACTGACCTCCCGACAGGCTCTGGCCCAAGAGGGCTCTCCTCAGCCCCTTTGGAGGGATGGCGGTCCCCCCAAAATCCAGAGGCAAAAGCTTTCTTGGAGCCAGCTGATTTTTATGCACAGGTTGGGGTCAGGAGAGGGGAGGAGGTGGAAGCCTGGGTAAAGGGGACCCATGACAAGGTCTGGGGTGCTGGGTATGGCTGGAAGGGGTGCTGGGTATGGCTGGGAGGGAGGCAGCTAAGCACCCAGAGTGAGCCTGCGGCAGCCCCCTCCACCCACTGGGTGCCAACATCCCCCATCCTCGGCTGTAAGAAAGCATCTGATGTGGTCACGCGTCCCCTGGGGACAGAAGCAGCCCCAGTGAGCATCGCTGCTCTGGAGGCACCTGGAGATGCCTGGGCATTGGGTCTGTGTGGAAGCCCCTGGGTGACCCCTGAGAACCACGCTGCAGAGGATGGAAAGGGGAGCCGGGGGTGCTTTCTCACAAAACCCCCTAAGATGGATATGGCCGTGATCACCTTACAACAGGTAAACCGAGAGGGAAGAGAAGGAACCTTCTCAGGTTCAGGCCAACCAGGTGCCAGACACCCTGCACACAACTTCCTAATTCCCAAACGTGCACTCCTAGCAAGGTGAGGCTGCTGGACAGACAGCAGACAGACAGACAGCTCAGAATTACAGCCTCAGCCCTGAGACCGCGGACCAGCCTGCCACCCCTGTGGGGCACAGTGAGGGATAAAGCAGGTGAGGAACCTTTCACTCGGCCTGAGCCCTGGGGTGCAGGAAATCCAGACACTGCGCTGCACTGCCAGTGTGGCACCACCAGGGGGTGCTCTGATTGGCCTGGCAGTGGATCCAGCTAGGCTAGAGGTTTATGCCCAGCTGGTCCCCAGCCCAGGACACCACAGGACTCAACAGACCTCAGTGGGGACACAGTCCTTCTTATGGCCAAGTGGTACCTTTCATCTGTGCTCTCAAGTACCTGAGACAGACATCGTCAGTGGACTCTGAAGAGGGGATAAAACCAGGAGGGTCTCCATCTGAGTTGACTTCCTGCTGAGCCCACAAAGGTTCCAAGTCCCTTTTCTCCCTGGCTCCCGTGGGTCCATCCCTGGTGAAGACCTAGCTGGGCTCAAACCTGTGGCTTATGTAATGGCCAGAGCCCTCCAGCAAGTCCCTGACCCTCGAGGTTCCCTCCCCACCCCACACAACGGGGATAATATTGGGACACCCCACAGAGCCTGGTGACCTCACTGAGCGGGGCATAGTTGAAAGCATAAAAATGCGTGCTTTCAACTAGGTGTGTGCTACGATCCGCAGCACACGGAGCCCGGTGCCCGGCAACGCTCGGCCTGATGTCCGGAGCCCGCCTGGCGGGGGGCGCGAGCTGAGTGATGGATGACGTGCTGACAGGCCGACGTCAGCTCCCACCACCAGCTGCTATCACCACCATCATGTCCCTGTGCCATGAGCGCAAGGATCACATCCAGAGCACAGGAGGGGGTGGGACCTGCCCTGCCCACCCTGGCTCTCCTCCAGGTGCTCTGGCTGGTGCGGCCACACTGGGTGAGCCTGGGGTGGGCCACCTTGAGGCCCTGCAGATGCTGGGCAACCCTCCCCCATCAGGACTCCTGGGCTTCAAGGCCTAGGAGCCCACTGCAGGGTAAGGTCCAGCTCCTGCCCTTCCCAGTCCTGCAGGTGCAGCCTGGGCCAGCAAGTCCCCCTGCCCCTGAACCCAGGCATCCAGCTCTCCTGTACACAGCGGCTCTGGAGTGAGACTGGAGCCTCCACATGCCCCCTGGGGCTGCCTTCTGGCCTCCACGGCTGGCAGAGGCGAGGAGTCCCAGCTGGCCAGGTCACATGCCTGGAGAGCAGCAGAGCTGAGCGCAGAGCCTGGCTGGGGACCAAGCAGTGCAGCCAAACTGGCCTCAGGCCAGCGCTGTGAGCCACATGACGCCACAAGAGCCTCTCGGACACTTGCCTGGGGACTGAGAGAGAACCAGCACTCGCCTGCCCCTCCTGTGACAAGAACAGAAAGGCCCAGGACTCCTGGGGGACTGGCTTGGTCAGGGGCCAGTCAGACTTGGCAGGACCCACTGCACATCCTTCACAAATGGCCAGGCAGCAAGTGACGGGTCCCCAGGCCTGTGCCCTCTCCTTGGGGAAGGGCACCTGCAACAACCCCAAGGCCTGCAGACGGGCGGGTAGGCTGTGGCGCTCAGCCAGCCTCGTGGGGACTTGTGCACTGCTCGGTCTGTGCACTGCTCGGCCTGGGAC